CCCCCCCTCCTTCCCACCCCAAGGTGACCGCAGCAATCCATCTCTGCATATAATAATGCAAGATCTAATCTAATGTGCAAATTCGCCAGAATGATCATTTAGAATTATTTTGCACAAGAACTTTGTATCCAACCATGGAATTTATTCAACTTAAAACCATTTTTTTCCAGATAAAAATTTGTCAGTTTTTTAAAGTTGTGAGCTAGTGATATAAGTTATGGGATTTTTATCTTGCTTTTAATTCTCGAGTTTTATCTTCGTGATACTGGTGGTGGTGGGATTGAAAATAGAACTGATAAAAATCATTATAATTTCAATATAAAATCAATCATTCTGATACATTTCTCATTTCCCACGACCAAATCTCTAAATCTAATAACTTTATTCTCATCAACTATTTTTCTATTTGAAAACTTTTTTATGTTCCCTTTCTCTTAAAACAAACCCAGCAATATACAGGGTTACCCACAAAGGATGAGACTTCAGAGACGACTGTACAGAATTTGTACTATCCTTTTCCTTATATTAGGAATTCACTGTGACTGTAAACTTGTTTCTCTGATTGCCAAATCGGAAAATAAAACATTTAAAGACGAAACTTAACGCAGAAAACTTAATTTAACCTTAGAATCGTCATATTTATAGTTTTAGGTCGTCTTTACGATCTCATCCTTTGTGGGTAACCCTGTATATCAGAAATATGGAATGTGCAATTATACTGTTTTATGAATGGTTGCAAAATAACTGTCAATCGTTGATAACATGTGGATACGTTAATTACGGGGGGGNGATAGATAGATAGATAGATAGATAGATAGATAGATAGATAGATAGATAGATAGATAGATAGATAGATAGATAGATAGATAGATAGATAGATAGATAGATAGATAGATAGATAGATAGATAGATAGATAGATAGATAGATAGATAGATAGATAGATAGATAGATAGATAGATAGATAGATAGATAGATAGATAGATAGATAGATAGATAGATAGATAGATAGATAGATAGATAGATAGATAGATAGATAGATAGATAGATAGATAGATAGATATTAGAGCTAACTAGAATGCCTGGAAGACAGTTGAGCTATAAAACTTTTTTATCTTTTGGGTCCATTTGTTAAGAATTTAAATATCATTTAGCTAAATTAGCTTTGTTCATTCTAGTTTGTCTGTTTGTTTGTTTGTTTGTTGGGTGCTTATTTGTTTGTTGTTTTTATAAATGTTTAAGAAACAAGGAGGTTAGATTTAGTTTGTTTAGTTGTTGAATTCGTTACTACTTCAGATTAAGAATCATTCCAAGCATGTTTTCGGCTTGTCTCGGCTTGAAATTAAAATTCCTTGCATTTGTCAACTTGAATGTACTTAAAGCAATGGCTTGGATGACGTAGTAGGAACCTGTTTAAGGATTACAGTGGCTTAATGCCTGAATATATTGCTTGACTCATCTCTAAGCACTGCCTGTCTTTAAGGCAGTTCTGCATGATATAATTTGTTTGAAATCTCTGCTTGAAAATCTTTTCAGTTTCTTTCAAGATGTCCGTAAAATCCATTGCGTGTGTGTGCCAAGCGCGCTTAGCTTGACACTGTATGCGCGCGGATTGATTGGTTGAGAGTATGTGATGAACCAGGAGGGGTGCTGCGCGCGCAGGGATGGGCTGTTGCCGCGCACACAGCTGTATGTGCGCCTGGGCGCCGCTAGTCTGCAAAACTCTGGTCTAATGTTTTCTAAATTCTCGACTATTATATTCAGTTCTGAAGCCCATCACCACAAAAAGTTGCATTCGAAAAAAATGCGCCCAGCGATCATCCGCGCGATTGAAATGATATTTCTGGGAGAGGGTTAGACTTAAGTTCAATGAACTATCAATATATTCAATATATCTAATATATTTAATATATTTAATGCCATCAATATATTCAATATATTTAATTACCTATAAAAGCCGGGAACTGTTTACTTTCCGTTCTACAAATAAAAACCTTTTAATTAATTACTAAAAACAAATTTATCATAAAAACACATAATTTTTTGTAAACAATCGTTGTTTAACATAAAAAGTCAAAAATTAAAATAATGTTTTCCTGACATCCTCAAGCCTTATATGTTTAGAATTTCTATGCTGGTAATTACAGCAAACAAAGCTAATTGTTTACCAATTAATTAGTTATCAATTGTATCTCATTAAACACAGTAAGCCTAGATAAAAAGGTATGATGGGAGGTGGGGGGGAGGGGAGGGAAGGGGA